AGGGTCAATATAAATATATATATATATATATATATATATATATATATATATATATGTACTATTTTAAGGATTTTTTAATAATATTTTTTCACATTAATGATATTGTTTTGAAAAATTGTCATGAGAATCTGTGGTTTTAAAAAAAGGGGTCCTAAATTTTCTCTTTTTATTTATCAGTAAAATAAATCAGTTAATTTTTTTGACAGGTTGGGTGTCTTTCATCTATCACTTATCAAATCAATCAGAATGTTCAGCTACATCTTTATCGTTTTTATCTATTCTAGCAAAACACATCACACTACTCTAAAAGATGGTGGTTCCAATGTTAAAAGCCTTGCATTCAATATTGTTCTTATGACCGTAAGACTAAAGGACAGGGAGAAAAACTCACCCCGGTTTGAGTATTGCAGTGGCGTGTGCCAATGATGCATCCCGCTTCCTCAATCATCTTCAGGATAGTGCCACCATGAACATTGCCAACAATGTTGGCATCATCAGGACGCATGATCCTGAAATATTAAAGAAAAAAAACCTTTGCATATAATTTCCAGGTTTTATAGGGATGCACAATACAGTATATTTATAACCATATTCAGTATTGCCCATATAGACCAATATTTTGTGGATTGTAAATCCCTAAAGTATACATTTTTTACTTATCTTTCTCACCTATGTTAAACGACTGTTACAAATCAAGTGCTCACAAATATTATTAAAAGCATCTAACAATAATATTACATTTATCTTGATATCTTCTGAGAACTTTGATATACATCGGTCACACTGACCCAAATCCCAGGCTACAAGATCCATATGTTGTCAACTGACTGTAAGAATTACTATAGCCAGTAATTATATTTATATTAGTTCACATCCTTAAACGTGATTGGCTGAGCAGCGTTTCCAGAGTCCTGATACTTAATCTAGCAGTACTGGATTTTTTGCAGTTTGTATCACTCTGCTTTTCTTTGTAATGGCGTCATAAAAGACAAAAACAACAAATACACATGATGACACAACATAAGTTAACACAAAAACAGACATGATTACATACACAACCAGTTTGGTGAGAAATTTTGAACAGCCAAAACATCCTGTCGTAACAAAAACTTCTCAAATGAAACAACCAACTAAAGTTATGATACTCATTCACTGAATTATTTTGTTGAACATACAAATCCATTTCAAATACAATCTTACAAACACACAAATCTAAAAGTTTGGAAGAATATGAGAATGTGTCTCTATGTCTGGAAAAATATGAAATGATGTGTCTGTCTAGAAGAGTATGATGAAGTAGTCAGATCTAGTCAACTCTACCTGCTGAGCTCATATTGAGACGCCATGACTTCTTAAAAGTTAGACGACAGAGTTTTGAGAAGTTCCCAACACAACAGTGACCGTATCAGTGACTGTAACATTTCTATAGTTCATTTCCTCTCTCAGTGCAGACACATAGTTTATTACATCATCATCTTCACCACTAGTGTGAGTGTTTCACTGACTCAGACTCCACCCACCTTCATTCAAATATTGTGCCTTCAGTTGACTCACAGAGCTTGTGAAGGACCTAAGGATTCTTTGTAGCAACCTGTGTGTGTGTGTGTGTGTGTGTGCGCGCATGTTTATGTGGTTTATGAGGACACAAATTTGTATAATAACATGGGTATGACATAGGTATTACAACGAGAAGGTGATTTATGAGGACATTTTCTGTGTCCCCATAATTCAAAAGGCTTATAAATAATTCAGAATTCGTTTTGTAAATCTAAAAATGCAGAAAGTTTCCTGTAAGGGGTAGGTTTGGTGTAGGGCAATAGAATATACGGTCTGTACAGTATAAAAACCATTACGCCTATGGAGAGTCCCCATAAACCATAAAAACAAACCTGTGTGTGTGTGTGTGTGTGTTGCTTCAAGAGAGCAACCAAACATTTGTGTTGTTTTACTTTCTATTATATCAATTTATTCTTCATTCATTTATAAACATTTATCATTTAATCATATAAACATGTATAATAATCACTTAAGCCATTTATATACTCATTTCATTGATTTATTCATTGATTAGATTGTATGTGTTCTTTATTATTATTATTCCTATGGCAGCCCTGTGAAGGGAACAAAGGAAAATTATGAAATTTGGCACACTTGTAGTGATGGTTATGAATAGTGATCTGATCAACTTTGGGGTCTCTAGGACCAACTCTATAGCACCACCACCAGTTCAAAAATTCACTTTTCAAACTAACCCTTTGTTCTGGAAAAACGAAATTTAGTTCACCCGATTACTCTATTCATGCTGATCACATTCAATAGATTACATTAAGACTCCACCCATTACAGTAGCAGCCATTTTGAAAAGTACAGTTTTCTTTTTTCTTTCTTTCTTTTTTTTCCGAAAAATGGCAGAGATGATCTTTGGACTGAGCTGCACAGAAATGACTGAACAGAATTTTGATATTCATCTTTGTTTAAAAGTTATGATGTTGTGAACTTAATGATGTAGACCCAAAATTGGTTCAGAGGCTGTATCTCAGCCAAACTTTGATTAATCGAAACGAAACTTGGTACACTTCCTCAACACCATCTGATCTGAGGGTTCATGCTAAATTTGGCAATGTGCCACCTAGTGTTCCAGAGATATAACGATTTTTTGAATAACTTTTGAAAACATTGTCCAAAATTTATGGCTGTCCACCATATTAAAGTAAATAAACGTTTTTTCACTACTCCTTCTACAAATTTTGTCCTTAATCAGATCAGATGATCTTTGGAAGGAGCCTCACAGAAATAATTGAATGCATTTTTAATTTAATTAAATTCGCTACAGTTCCCAAGAAATACCTCTCCGAAGTGGACTGTGCCTGTGTTTGTTGACTTAGCTTAGTATGCTAACCGTTTACCATTCGTTCTAATCTGGCTCTTCAGCTATCAAGCTAACCACAAGCTAATTTGCTTTGCATGCTAATCTGGTTAACGTGCTAAGGAACTTTTTTTGTGAGCTCATTATCACACTGAAACCTCTCCTCAGCAGCCTGGTGAACGTGCATGAGTGACTAGCTCAATGTTTTACACCATTGAGCCCAAATGCTTCAAGTTGTGGGTTTGAAACTCAGTGTGACACATGCCCAGACTGCAAGAGGTACTGTGGCATGAAATGCTGCAGTAGTTGCTTTCTGTTGCAGGCATTGTCCCTTTCCGAGAATGACCTCATTAAATATGACACGCAGTGCATTTATGTACAAATTCATAGTGAACATCCATCTTCCCAGTGGCGCAACAAGACGTGCGACAAGTACTTGACCTGCGATTGTGGGTTTGATTCTCGTGTGGTGCAACTTTATAAAATTATGTGTAATGTTGTGTTGTTTTGATTACTTTTATCCTGACCAGAATTGTACTAATCTTTATTCATCTTGGAAATAAACATATTTATTCATGCTCTGTTCTCATTTTCATTTGAACTTCTGTTCATTCTTGCCTATAATTCTGAACTAATTTTTCATGCTTATTCAATTTCTGCTGTTTTTGCTCTTCCTGGTCTGCGCAAGCCCTATATCACTGCTTGAAGCTATATTATATTATTATTATTTTTTATACTATTTTTCCATTGTTTCAAGTGCTATTCATCTTCATGAGTAAGAGATAAGAAATTCTCCATTTTTTACGCCACAGGACGTGTTGTGAAGCAGTCATTTTCATTGCTATTGCTTGTAGTATAACAGTATAATAATATATTGTAGAATAAGTCTGAGCACTGAAGTGACCTGTGGCCAAGTATGGTGACCCATACTCGGAATTAGTGCTTTGCTTTTATCCCATCCAAAGTGCACACACACACAGCAGTGAACACACCCACATCCGGAGCAGTGGGCAGCCATTTTTTTGCTGTGGCGCCCAGGGAGCAGTTGGGGGTTATACTGCTCCCTGCCGGTCCCTGCCGGTCCGAGACTCGAACCCTCAAAACGCAACTAAGATTTTTCAATAAATTCTACTAATTTATTATCATTACGTTGTCTGCTGCTTCTGCTCTTCTCTGGCTTTGCTTAGTCAACTGCTTGGCTGATAGATGACTGTTAATACAGTTTTGGGTACCAGACAAAACACTGGTTTTGGGTATTAGACGACTTTGCTGACTAGTTGTTCTGTTACCAGACAAAACATACATTTTCTGACAGGGTCTGGCGTCTGGGGCTGGATCTGATATTTCTGGCATGAAGGCATGACCTAACACCGGCAGTGAGAGTATATTCACAGTTTTGTCCTGAACATGTAAGGCTCTAGAACACACAAGATGTTAACTAAAGTTAACAGAAATAATATTCTAAAACATGTTACCCAAATTTGTTCAACTTACAAAATAGCTACAAATCTGTAACTAAAATATAGCCACAAAAATAAAGTCACAATGGACAAAATAACATTATTAATATTTATTAGTATTATTATTTTGGGGCTAGGTGTATCCTAAATATATTCTAGACAGGTAACAGGAGATTTACTTCAGAACAGAACAGGCATGGGAAATAAATAGCGAAAGAGTCCCACTTTGATTTAAAGGCCACTTCCAATCAGAAGCGATGAACAGCTGAGCTCAATTTATGCCAACCAACATCATAACATTTTATTCAACGTTACCAAAAGAGTGAGAAAGATCACGGCCAGTTTTTCTGATTGCATCAAACCGTGAGTTTATCATTAACAGGAAAAACAAGATCTCGCTCCCTTCCCTATTCATTACACTCAAACCTTTTCCTGGGGGAAAAACTTTAATAACTTTTCTAATCATGAGCTAAGATGCACTGAAGATGGTGGATAGGACTTTGCGCTTTTGAATATTGAGAAATTAATAATTGTATGAAATATGTAATGAAAAGTTTAAAAAGTGTCAAAGCATCAAAGATTGAGTTATTCTTGCTGTCGTGTCTCTATGCCATACTGTTAATTATCTTAATGAAAATGCGTAACTATATAAGACACATTGCATCAAAAAAGTGTTTTGTATTCAGTTTCTGCTTTGGTTCACTAAAATAGTTAAAAGATTCAGTATATCCAATGTGTGAAATGCTGTTTTTAATCTTTCAAAAAAAAAGAGAGAACAAAAGATCCTACCTGAGAATATGAGGATAATGACGAATGCATCTGACCTCTCTCAGAAACAAAATGCCAGTCTCAATCAAATTTAGCATAATGCCCTTTTTGCAACTAGACAGTACCAAAGTGACCCAATTTGTTAAGCACCAACAAAATAGATCTCGCAACAAAAGTGGTTCACCCTGGCTGCCAAGTAACCAAGTAAATTTGGCTACCTCTGAGTAAATTTGGTATCTGCGCAACAATAGCATGTGAATATAATGTGTGTGGCTACACTGAATGTGTTCGGTCACTATTTGTTGCTTAATATAATGAGGAGAAATGCAGTACTGAGCCATATAAAACATTAAAATAAAAGCCACACACATGAGTTTTTATTATGTAAGTCTATAACAATATATATATATTTTTTTTTATGTGTTTTCTTAAGAACACAACACAAAAGACAAACATAAAAGCATTATAGGAACATTTATGCCAAATCCGTCTAAAGTCCGGTCAGAGGGGAAAATGCAGTAAAATGTGTTATTGCACCAGTAAACTAAAATATTTCTTTCTTTGTACAAGTCAGGAAATAAAGAAATTCTCATATGGCTCAATAGGTTTGCAAAATCCAACAGTCTGTTACACTTTGTGTAAAGCATGTTCTTGCCATTAAGGCAAAGCAAGAACTATTTATTTCTTAACTATTTATTAACTACTTGGGGAAGTCGTGGCCTAATGGTTAGAGAGTCGGACTTGTAACCCAAAGGTTGTGGGTTCAAGTCTCGTACCGGCAGGGATTGTAGGTGGGGGGAGGGAATGTACAGCGCTCTCTCCCACCTTCAATACCACAACTGAGGCAAGCCACCGAACCGAACCCCTAACTGCTCCCCGGGCGCTGCATAAATGGCTGCCCACTGCTCCGGGTGCGTGTTCATGGTGTGCACTTTGGGTTAAATGCAGATGGGTTAAACTTCACTGTTTACACTTGCTTACAGTGAGGGGACAAAACTTGTGGAGAGGGAGCTATTACATTTGCAATCCAAGACTGCTAATGCACCCTTAAAATATAAAATTATCCTTGAAGCTTTCTTTTACCACATTATAAGCATATGGAAATAGTTGTGGTAGATATAGTCATTTATCAGAACTGACGACTGTCAGTTTACAAGAATGCAACCAGATGACTATTTGAGCAGGATGTGGGGACAAGAAACGTTAAAAAGGACTACTGATTTGGTACGAGTAAAAAAAAATCCTCTAGTTTAGATCTCTGTACAGCTGTACTATGTAAAACGTACCAATTAAATA